TTTTTTTTTTTTTTTTTTTTTTTTTTTTTTTTTTCTTGGTCCTTACTCGAGATCTTCTTCATTGATAGGTGTACGTCATTTGTGGTCTCTACACCCTGTTATAACTGATTAAGGGGAAGAACCAAACACTCATGCCTTTTGTTTGATTAATTATCCTTGATCTGTTTTTTGAAAATAAAAAAATATATATAGGCTTTCTGTGGGTGTGCGCGTGTTAATGTGTAGCTGCGGCATGGGAAGAAAGTTGGTCTGAAGCTGTACAACTTAGGCGAAGAGTTCAATTCCCTCAAGTGCTTCGATGGATTTTGAATTTTATATTTTTCTTTGCAGCACTGATTCCGTTACGTAAGCGAAAAAAAAAAAAAAAAAATCAAAATGAACTACATCTTTATTCTCATTTCCTGATTGTGATTTCTTTTCTTTTCTTTTTTCTTTTTTTTTTGCTTTGTTGATTCATCATAAACCTATTTCTTCTTACAGCTTTATTTGTCTGGTCACTTGTTCGAGCCAATCAAGATTATTCTCGCATTCAAGACATACATCATAGTATTACCCATACTATGTATGATGTAGCCCCGAGTTATGATTTATTTACTTACAACCCGATAAAAGTCTTAAAGTTGTTGATCCCAGCAAGAAAGATAGTGGAATTACGGGTAAGATTAAGGTTTTTTTTTTCATTGTTAATCTGTGGTCCTATATAAATCTGATTCATCTTTGCATTCGATATCTTTTTATTTTTATTTTTTTTCTTTCAGGATCATCTTGGTGCCAACTTGAGAATCACGCTTTGGACCGCAACGATTGAATTAACTGCTTTAGGATTTGTGGGTAGATATCTTCCCCCCCCCAAGATAACAACCGCCCTCTTCCCCCTTCTTCCCTTCTTCAAAGAGCTAACGATGTACGGTGTGACTTGTGATTTGGTTTTACGTTGTTAGCTTTATTTCCCTATTCTCTATTTTACTCTAAGGGAGATTCGAAAAAGGTCTAAAGAACTTCGTTTGACCATCGCTACTTCCACAACCAAACAAGCAATCCAATTTATAAATATTCAAAATCATTTAAACGAAGAAATGAACGCGCTCATTTGTCACGCCTTTTCTACTTATTTTAGTACTTTGATGTATATTCCAATTTTGGCGTGGATGGTTTGTATCTAATTTTTTTTTTTTTAATCAAGATGGACTCATTGGAAATTTATACTACCTTTTTTTTATTATTACTATTATTATTTTTAGCTTTCTTATACTCAACCTGATTTCACTCAAAATAAAAAATGGATCACTGGTACTCAGATGGTAAGCAAACCCAGGTTCTACTAAAAAAAAAAAAAAAAAAAAAAAAAAAAAAAAAAAAAAAAAAAAAAAAAAAAAAAAAAAAAAAAAAAAAAAAAAAAAAACACAGAGATCACCTTAAATTCCATACTA